AATCGTCATTCCACCATGGGATGCAACGCTTATTAGTCATTCCGTTAGTTTGCTTAATACATTTCGCTGCAGCGTCAATAATAAAATCTGTTAGGTATGCCACAGCATCGTCTATATTAAAATCAGCAATGTCCTCTCCATCTAAAAATGTGTTTTCTCGGAACAGTTCCCAGTTGGCTGACTTGGTGTTTTAACGAGGAAAGTCAGGCGAGCATGTATCTTCTTTAGTCAGCTTCAACATTATCGGGAAGTGGTCACTTCCAAAGGGGTTCTTGAGAACAGACCACTCCAGATAAGGAATTAGTGTACTCGAGACAATACACAGGTCTATAGAAGAGTATGTGTTGTGCGTAGTGCTATAATATGTTGATTCTTTTTTGTTAAGTAAACATGCACCTGACGAAAACAGAAAGTGTTCTATTAGGCGTTTTCGTGCATCCAAACGGGAGTCGCCCCATAGAGGATTATGTGCATTTAGATCACCAACGACTATATATGGCGGAGGAAGTTCATCAATGACGCTTTGAAATTCTGTCTTCGAAAGTTGATAGCACGGAGGAATATAAATAGAAGTAATTGTTAGTAGCTTCCCGAACAGCACTGCTCGGACAGCAACTGCCTCAAGAGAAGTTCGGAGGTTTAATTGCTTTTTACAGGCAACACCTTTATCAACTATTATAGCGACACCGCCCGACGAGGCGACAGCGTCGTCACGGTCTTTGCAGTAGATGGCATATTGCTTTAGAAAGTTTGTTTGTGTGCACTTGAGATGTGTTTCCTGAACACACAGCACCTTTGGAGTATGTTTATTAAAGAGTTCTCTAATATCATTGAGGTTATGGAGAAGTCCTCTCACATTCCACTGTAAAATCTGCGTGTCCATTTTAGATGTGTTTTGTGCTGTGTGCTCAAGGATCGAAAATTAGCTCATGGACCCTTTCCAGGGGCCGTGACACGAGATTTTTCTTTTTTGGATCGGTCGACGGAGTCGCGCCGATCCTTAGGCGCTTGCTGCGCCCTCACCCTCAGAGTTGTGTCCATTGCCTCTAGCGAGGCACTGGACAAGCACTCTTGCGAGCGCTGCAGTTGTTTTGAGGGCCTCGCCTCTAAAGACAAGGCCTTCGCGGCCCCCAGCCCGGAGGTTGGTGGGTCCTTCTTCGATGGCGGAGCAGCACTGGCTGCAACCGCCGAGGGGGCGGATGGCGTAACCGCCGGCTCATTACGCGTGTGCCAGACAGCCGCCGGAGGCCGTCGTGGCGCTGCCCCCTGACGCGCCACTTCGGCAAAGCTGGTTTCTGGTAGGTAGGACACCTGCCTTCGTGCCTCCTTAAAGGAAATGTTTTGTTTTACTTTAATTGTGACAATTTCCATTTCTTTTTTCCAGCATGGGCATGACCGTGAGTATGCGGCATGCTCCCCATTACAGTTCGCACAGTGAAGAGAGTTTTCACAGGCTTCAGATGTGTGTTCTTCTGAACTGCATTTGGCGCAAGTTAGGCGGCCTCGACAGTTCTGTGAACTGTGGCCGAACCGCTGGCATTTGAAACATCGGAGAGGGTTGGGTATATATGGCCTCACTCAAAGCTTGATATACCCAGCCTCAACGGAGTCAGGCAGTACACTTGAATTGAAGGTAAGTATTAGGTGCTTAGTGTGGACTTCTTTTCTATCAGGTCTTATCCTAATTCGCTTCACGTTGATGACATTCTGTTTGCTGAAACCCTCTAGGAGTTCAGCCTCCGTAATCCCTAACAGGTCATCATCTGAAACAACGCCATGGGTGGTGTTCATGGTTCGGTGTGGGCTTACTATTAATTTGGTATCTCCAAATTTCACTAGATTAGACAATTTTTCATACTGTTTCTGGTCGCGGAGCTCCAACAGGAGGTCACCATGCCATTCTCGATGCTTTATATCCTGGGCCAAAGATTTCTGTCAAAGACTTCGAAGCAAGAAAAGGTGAAATTGTTCTCACTGGTTTGCCGGGTGTGTCAGAGTGGATAACGTGAAATTGGGGAAAGGATACTCTCTGGTGACCAAAAAACTGGAATACTTCATTGGTGCACCCTCTTTTCTGAGGGCGATCAGGGAGTGGGGGGAAGGAACTAGCCATAAGAAAAGGCTTATTTTCGGCAGCGGCGCCAGCCACCCACCATGGAGTCCTACAAGGGGATGCTGCAGGGTCTGTAAGCACAGGACCTGCAGACGCCAGCTGTACACCACCACTATAACCGAATATGGTGTATCCAAAGTAGGATAGCCACACAGGGTTGACCCTTGCTGCCAGGAAACACAGAAGTCAACGGAAAAGAGTAGAGGACAGGAAAGATTTGAAGTAAGAGAAAAGACGAATATGTGAGGGGGAGACAGGAAAAGGCGACTGCCGATTCCCCCCAGGCGGGTCAATCCGGGGGTGCCGTCTACGTGAAGCCAGGGCCAAAGGAATGTGTTGCCTCTGCCGGGGGGCCTTAAAGGTCCAAGCACCCAGCGTCGGCTCAACACCCAGGATCCCCTTTTCCCCGGACACGGTAAAGCCACGCACAGCTAGGCGTGGGAGGGAGTCAAACCCCCCCCCGTTAGCTCGGGTCCGTGGTGTCGCTACACACCAAACGCCTAGTTGCGCAGGCGCCCCTGCGGGGTGCCGGTTTTTGTGAATCCCACTACTTCGGCTTCTGTAGAGATTGCCCTTCGAAACTCGGCTCTTAGAGCTCTTTTACCTGCTCCTTGGATATATCCGCTGCCTTGCACGTTATGAATAAGTCGAGTGTGAGGTCCCCATCGGAAAAAACACGTTCTCTCAATACTGAATCTCTGATTCCTACGACGATGCGGTCGCTGATAAGTCAGTCTTTTTTCTTCCTGCTTGCCTCCGAAAGTTCGTTACAAAGTCATCGAATGTTTGCTTTACTTTTGCTTTATTATGCTGAACACAGCACAGACCTGTATCACGTTATTGTGTAATCTGTAGAGGGCATCAAACTGTTCCACGAGGTGCGTAACTTCATTCTGCGGCTGCTCGCCGTCAGTGTTTGGAGGTGTAGGGAGGATTGTCTGGGCGACACGGCGGCTATAGGGCTTCGAGTACATGATGAAGTAAGGCTCTGCGCTTAGCTGTAAGCTTGATGGCGCACTCACGAGCTTGCCCGTAAATGTTCCACACTTTTTTTCCAGTCCTCCCAGGCTTGCTGCGGCTTGTCACCTGGCTCGAAATGAGCCAGTGGTTGTAGGAAGACATTGGCTATAGTTGCAAGGTGGCTGCGATCACTCTGACACCGTGTTTAGCTGTGTTGTTGAAGGGCTGCGATGGATATAGGACCAGCCCAGTCAAGAGCAGAAATGGAACTGTTTATTATTCAGATACCGATTTGGAAGTGCAATGTAGGTGGTGCTAGATGTTCTTTTGTTCAAAGGCAGCATAGCGTTGGCAGCACTTAAAGAAAAGATGGTATACTGCGCACATATGTAACATAAAAAAATCATGAATTATCAAAGTCGGTGAAGTAGCACAAGCGCGTGCACTGGAGCAATACAACACCAATCCAGACAAGATGCAAACACAGACAGTCTCGCACAGTCAGCGGCAGACTAAGCTGGCAGGCAGATGGTCTGGTCACTCTAGGCCAGGAACGCCAACTATAGTGTAACAAGACCAGTGATCCAAAACAAAGGGCAGACTAGTGTGCCCACTGGTCTTCAAAAAATCGGTGCCAGTGTGAAAATACGGGCCTCGTCTGGCGATGCGGGGTGCTGAGAGCAGCGGGGGAGACAAAGGATGAAGGGTTGCGTAACAAAAAACGGTCGTGGAGACCGATAACTACAGGGCTGCGGAGGCAGTTTTACACTAAGAATCTGTGGGGATCTCGCAAATGGTTTATCGGTGGTCAAAAGTGGTGTCCCGGGAAGTCACGAGAGCAGAGACTCCGTTCACTGTAAGGGCCGGTTCACGATAGCGGCATGCATGGCTCGCCATTTGATGTTCTCAGGCAGCCCTACCGGCTGCTTCCTTCGCACACGTCTGCCGTTCTTTGCCGTTCAAAGAATGAATCCGAGACCCATTTTTGTGCCGCTTGCCATTTGCCAGAGAGAGGTGTAGCCAATCAGCGACAGAGGAGCAACATGGCTGAGCCGCATCGTCTGCTTTCACCTCTTCGCACCGTCTGTGTCAACCGCAGAACACTTCAAGCTGCTCACTTCTTGCTCCGCGGTTTTCATGCTACGTCATACATGTTGTTCCCAGACTACGCTCTAGCATTGAATAGAGCATAATAGCCTGTTCGGTATTCAAAAAAGCGTACAGCAATTAAAAATCATGTCTACCAAAGTAGGCATTTGGACCTGTAGCGCCAGCTATGCAATAATAGCAAAAACTAAATATGGAAACGTATGCCCGCCAAGATTCTGCAAGGCTTGCTTTAGCCTACAACAACAGTTATTTCAACATGGCTCTGAAAAACGATGCCGAATCGATTTGGTTACCGTGTTGTCGAAGCTAAATGACACGAGTAAAGCGAATGAAAGCATCAGTTCGGAGCTTGCAAGCTACAGAGCGCACGGCGACTGCTTGATAGATTCGTGGCGGTCGACAACTACATTCCGAAGGGCACTCATGTTTGCCGGCAAAACTTGTCGTGCACTTTGAACAGCTCTCCCGCGGCGGCGGCGGCCGGCGGTCTATGGCACTGCATTGTCAGGGGAGGCTTGCCCCTAGCGTGAACCAGGCCTCGCAGATCAGCAGTACTCAGAGAGGTTTGTTGCAAGTGCGATGTTGTGCAATTGCAATCACGTATATTTTCATCGTCCCCAAGTATCATTCGTTTTAAGCGAAAGTTCGTTTTAAGAGGAACCGTTATATGTGGGCTCGACTGTATCTTAGTCTGCTGAAAACATGCCTCACATTTACACACTGTGCAGTGTGTGGGCAAATAAGCCATTTCATTACCTTTTATTGTTTGTTCTTTGGTGGCACAGCCCACAAGTATCATGCTACGTGAAACACTCACTTGCTTCTCTGCAGCTGCATGCTGAGCACTCTGCTGGACCTGAAACTTGGGAAGCTTTCCTTGCTGCTGGGCCATGTCTCTCAGTGTACGGGCAGTCTTAACAGTCGAGTTTCGAGAGTGAACAAACACCATGACCTGCAAGAGCACAAGTGGTACTACAGTAAACCTCCTGGGACCCAACTGCCGCCCAATACACTAGCACCACATTTCAAGGTTCACGCAAGTTTCTAAGGACAACATAGGAATTGTTTTTACTACAACCATGTTTCAAAATTCTGACTAGTCTTATTGCACATTACAATAGACTCTCAGTAAATGGAAATCTGTTAATTGGAACTACTGCTTTGATTGATTGATTGATATGTGGGGTTTAACGTCCCAAAACCACCATATGATTATGAGAGACACCGTTATGGAGGGCTCCGGAAATTTCGACCACCTGGAGTTCTTTAACGTGCACCCAAATCTGAACACACGGGCCGGCCTACAACATTTCCACCTCCATCGGAAATGCAGCCGCCACAGCCAGGATTTGAACCCGCGACCTGCGGGTCAGCAGCCGAGTATCTTAGCCACTAGACCACCACGGCGGGGCAATTAGAACTACTGCTTGAACGGAACTATATCCTATGCAATGCTTGGTTTTTGGCTTGTATTCTGCATCCATGTTCACCTTTCAGTAAACAGAACTGCTGTTAAATGAAACATACTTTACCAATCCCTTCAGATTCTGTTTACTGAGAGTCTACTGTATATACATATAGTGTCATTACATGGCAGAAATGCCTAGCCTTGATTCAGTCCAATGTATATTTGGGTACAATTAAAGAAGGCAGGAGAGGCCCCGCCCAAATGACCGTAGCGCAGCAGCCAATTTGCTCCGCGACTAAACAAATTGACCCGCTCAATAAATTATGACTGCTTCTAAAACGCGTATTTGTCTGTATAAATAAGATTTGTGTATCTTGACGAGTGCTTTGATAAAACTGTAATGATGAAAATGCTACGCCACATGCCATATCAGGAGAGAAAAATTACTCCGTGCCTTCTACAACACTGTGTGTCGTCTGCTACGGAGCAAGATCGACGGCACCAGGCAGTCACTAGTTTCATAGCATAAGATTCGTATGTACTTTTTGTGTGTTTGCAAAAGCTTTTTTTTTTTCAATGGGTCAGGCTTTTTTTTTTTCGGTTGCGAATTTGAAATCTTGTGAGTTTGCGCACATTGGCGCACGGTATTCCGTGCCAGAGTTATTCAATTATACGAGTTGCGAAACTGCGTTCCAGAATACGGACACGCAGCTGGCCCAATTCTTTGGGAGTTAGCCGACGTTTGCGCCGTCTTGGAGCAACAACGCAAAACACAAATAACGCGTTTAATAATGGGTGTGAGGATTGACAGGTGGCGCGACAGTATGCTCACTCCCGACAAAGGGGCTAATGACATGTTCAGATTTTGATACATGGGAAGTTTTGCACCTGATATGAATGAGCAACTCTGTTCCGTGCAAGTTTTCTGTCATAGAGCCTAGTGACGTGACATCGAAACGTGATCATTTGTTGCCGTACAAGCCTTGTGTCACCTCGATGGCCACACCACCAAGGAGCTTCAGCAAGAACAAGAGCGGCCACATCCTGAACAGCTATTTACGCAACATGATCTTCCACTGTTACACACAATAGGGAGCCCGAATGCACCGTGGAGGACACGAGCAGGTTTGTCGCCGACATGCTCGGTGTCGGCAAAAGGACTGTGTTCAGGGTGAGGGAGCAAGTTAAAGCTTCGCATTTTTTCGGGGGGCAAACTGACGATGCCCTCGTGAAAGTGCTCACGCAATTTGGGGGAGAGAAGACGCAAGCAAAGTTTGACAGCTTCAGGTTGTGCACGCTGAGGCCATGTGTGCACGATTTCTTTGGTCGCAACAAGATAACGAGGATCGAGAAGATAACTGCCGGGTTTTCGGAGCATATGGAACTAAAATCACTAAGGCGGTGTACAGTGCATCGCCTGCTTGCCGATATCGGCTTCAAGCATAAAAAGGGAAGCCGCAACTCCCTGCTTATCGACCGGGATGACATCACCGATTGGCAGAATTGCTACCACCGTGACGTGGAGCATTATCGGGTGGCCCAAGGATCTTTACCTCGATGAGACATGGGTCACGGCAGGACACACTCGGTCAATCGTGTGGACAGACACCCTGGTGCAGAAGCTCAGACGTGTGTTCTCTCGAGCAAATGGCCTGACGACGGGTCTAAAACAACCTCCTGGAAAAGGTCAGCGCCTGATCGTGATGCACATAGGCAGCGTGAATGGCTTTGTCGACGGCTGCTTGGATGTTTTCTCAGGCCAAAAGATAGGCGACTACCACGAAGAAATGAATGGCAATCACTTTGAGGGCTGGTTCAATGACGTTCTGCTAAAGTTTCCAGCTGGTAGCGTTATTGTTTTAGACAATGCACTTTACCATAGCCGGCGAGAAGAGAAATTGCTGACGACGGCCTGGAAGAAGGAAGAAATATAGGAGTGGCTCACAAGCAAGAATGCCACCTACAGTAAAAAGATGATAAAGAAGCAGCTTCTTGAGCTGGTGGCATCTGTAAAGTCATGCTTTCTGAGCTACATCGAAGACAACACAGCTGTAATGGCCGGTTTCATTGTACACAGGCTCCTGCCGTACCACTGCGAATTTCATCCCATTGAGCTTGTGTGGCCGAAGGTCAAGAATGGTGTCGCTGTAGACAACAGAGACTTTAAGCTGTCCACGGTCGACACCATCTTGATAGATAAAATCGAGCAGGTAACAGCGGAAGACTGGTGGAAGAGCATTCAGCACTTGATGAACGTGGAGGCAAAGTTAAGACTTGACCCATCTGGGAGTGAGCACATTCAACCCATCATCATCCAGCTGGGTGAAGATGACACTGATGAAAGCGACGACTGCGAGCTCTCTGGCATTGATCCACTCTGGCATTGAGCCACGAAGCCTAGCAGCTTCGTATCAATGAACAAACAGCCCTCATTAGGGCTACCAAATTTATGCCCGGTGGGTTTGCAAGAGCCTACCATTCATTCCGTGACCTCTCAAACAAATAAGCAGTTCCATTTATGGCGCATCCCTTTCATAGAAGGTCAATTCCGACAAGCAACGTCCCTCACACATCACGCCTGATTTCAGAAGTGGCATAGAAACACATTTCAATGCTGGCATATCTGAATTGAAACTTGCTAACCTCAAACTTGCTAACCATCAAAATGCTCAATCAGGCAGCCACCACCGAGTTTGACGCGCTTTATTGCTCAGTTAGCAGTCAGCACTGAAAATTGAAGTGTTATCATAACCATTCCTGCTGAAATAGCAGCAGTCAACATGAAACTGACAGCCACTGTTAGCAGCTTGCATGCCAAAGCACATTCATGTTGTTCCATTGTTTATTTTGGTTATCTGGATCACACAAGTAATACAAATAACAGAACAAATATAAAACATCATTAGCTTAGTGAGACCCAAATTGCTCGTTCAGGCAGCCACCGTCGAATGTGACGTGCCCCATAGTGAAATAGCAGTAGTCGGAGCACACTTCATGATTATGTTACCAGAGTCTGCACTGAAAATTGAAGTGTTGTCATAGCCAATTTTTAATTTATTAACCTGACTTGGGCAAGTAACGCAAATTCAAGCACAATTATTAACATGGTCAACTTTGCTAGCATTGGGTTGTCATATTTGCATACCAGACAATGCTCAGCAATGTTGAACGTGGTAATGAAATTGTAAATAAAGATGTGGCTGCAGCATGCTTTGCAAAAACAAGCACAAGAAAAACAGAATTGGAATAATCATATACAGACATGAAAGCACTCACATATTTATACACATTCACACAAATGCGAGCGCGAAAACAAATCCAAAATACAAAAAAGGGTAAAATAACAAATTTACACAAAAACGCACATACGTTTAATGCAGGAATCGTTTATTGCACATACGTTTAACTATATTAGGAATCGGTTCACAAGCAGCTGTGCCTACTTTATCGTACTTTTCAATGTACATAATGGCTCCGTTGCCTTCCCTCTCATAGGAACTTTTTAGTAGCAACATATCACAATAATGGAAAAGCACCGCTGAGCTGTGTTGTAGGAAAGCAAGCTGAGCACTGGCATCGCAACTTATGAGCGATTGTGTCACAGCAGGGATTCTACAGCTGGTGCGTGCAGTTAGCGAAGAGTTCCAAGCCACACAGCGGTACGAATTCATGCGAAGCTCCCTTCTAATGCCACCAGGGTATCAGTCATAACTTTACATTAGTTCTAAAGCTAACATTAAAGAAACAAACACTTCTCCCAAATGCCTGACCGTTAGTAATACAATGACATTCTCTGAAGCGGTGCGTGTAGTCACTCATTGTTGGCATTGATGAAAATCAATCGATCAATGGTGCTACAAAGCACTCGAACGAAGCTGCTCGACGCTCGGCTATCTTATCACACTGCCGCCACCGATCAGTCGTTTCGCGCTCAGCTGGCAGCAATGAATCTTTGCGTTGGGGCTTGCTGTCGCAAATCTTTTCTGCTGAGGTTGGTTTCATCTGCCCATGCTCTTCTCATTCATATCCATCGATATTCACAGCCCTATTCCCGTCCCGAAAGTATGCCAAGTTATTGAATTTGAAACATCCACGACACGAAAGTCCACTGTAAAAGAATCCTGACCAGCTCAGTGGCTTCACATTTGAGTCTTTTATACCTGAATGTCCATTGAACCAGAATCCGCAGTAAACGAAGCTCAATAAATGAAACGAATAGGGAGGTATGCATAACGCTGCAAATTAGTATGTAGTAACCGAATGTCTGTTGTAAGCGGATCCATTGTAACGAGGTTATACTGTACGACGACTACGTCGTTGTGGATGCTGCTGTCGTGACGTCAGAATGCCAGATTATTGCGGAGATCATTGCAAACTCGGTCACAACTGAAGACAGGGACATCGATGACGACGACGAGCATGAGCCACAGGATTCTGAAAAGTTGGCAGTGGAGTCGGTCAATCTCAACTTTGGAGAAGCCGTCGCGGTCCTGGACTACCTTCGCAGGTGCGTCGCACACCAAGCGACGTTGAAAGCAATGCGGCCTTCCAGATCATTGAGAAGCATATTGTGCTTACCAGCGAGCGAAAGAAGCAGCAGTCAACTATCTTCTAATACTTCAAGTCTTAGGCTTACCTTGCCAAAATTAATTGTTTGTTGTCGAAGCGCCTGTGCTCTCATTCATTTTCAGAGCTTTCCTCCCTCTTGCCTTTTCTTGGCTGTTACGTTTTTCTAACCCGGTCCGCTGAAAAATGTATGAACGCGGTTCCACTATATATAGAGTCTGAAGAAAGTGTTCCTAAAATGCTATTGCCATGTAATGCATATTTGTAAAGTAATTAGGTCTCAAAGTCAGTTTTGTGACCATTTTCACTCGCGAAACCACCTAATAAACGGCCATATTCGACGCCGCGGTCCCTGAGAACCATGCCAAGTAGCGCAGCCACTTTGATTTCATTTGAAAGACGTATTCTTTTTTTGTCTTTTCCTAGTGGAAGAATGCTTTTCGTCTAACAACAATGCAGCTATCACGAATAAAAAAAGATCCAAATACTCGCACATCATTGGTGCATTTCTATCACATGGGGCTGTTTCCGGTTCCCTATTGGATGTCAAAGAATTCGTCACTAGAAAGCGGTGCGCAGTCTGCCATTTTGTGATGAGGCCTAAGCGACAGCTGTGTAATTGATGTGATGGCAGGCGGTCATCAAAAGTTTATACTGCTCATGTGTTCAGAAAAAAGCGAAAACGGCATCTGAGAGCACACAGCATCTTACCAGCGAAACTCTTTGGTGCCGAGAACACGGAAAAAGCTGGCTGTGCCAACGCTATCACGAAGGGGGGCCTTGCGATCACAGATGCCATAGACGGGGCCAGCGCCTCGGCACTCCCCTGGTTTCCGACGCTGAAAAAGTGGCCCTTGAGTGTTGTGCGAGTGACATTCAGAGACCTTTCGTCGAAGGCGCCACACGACGCAACCGGTCGAGACTTGGAAGTGACCGCACGAATGGAACGCCATTCACCATGGTAAGCTTAGCGATAATGAATGAACAGCTTCAGTGTATGAAGTGCAGTGTGTGTGGCGGGCCTGGCAGCATTTCAAAGAAAGATTGAAAATATGGCATTGCCACGAAACTTGTGCTGACATGTGATGAGTGCGGAAAAGTGAAAATTGTACGGAGCTCACCGGAAGTAGGAAAAATGCGGCGCGCGACCCATTCAGGATTTGTGCGGCACAGCAAAACAGACAAACTGTGTTGAGTTGAATTTTTTGTCACACTGATTATTTCACGAAGATGTATGTACGTAAAGACATAAAAATTACGTGAAACTGAAAATGATTGCTGCCTCACAGAAGGCTGTCATGCACGTTTTGAGGACTGCGCAAGCACCGTCAAAATGCTGAACATTTGAAACCCTGGAAACATCAGGCGTGCAATGAAAAGAGAGCGCACGAAGAATGATGACGACTACACTCCTGGAGGCTTCTAGCATCATTAGTGCACTGATTAACACCTTTGCCTGATAAATATACATGCTCACCATGTCCCTAAACTTCTTTTCTCGTTTTCTCAAAACAACATTTTTCATCACGTTCGAGGCCATTACCCACAGTCTTTTTTGATCTAGATGTTAGATCTTGATCATTTTTGCAGCATTTGAAAGCTTATAAATTAAATGGTGCAAGAAGACCAAGAAATCGTAATTTTCTCAACAGCAATTTAATTAGTAATATAATTAAGCAACTTTTTCAGATTTTTGATGAGTCTACTTGTTGAGGCTATAGCTCTTGAACAAAAGAAGCTGAAAGTAAAATTATGGTTTCCTTGCACTCCCTGTTTTTTACAGAACACTGTAACATCTAATTTACAGCAATCTTTTATGAGAAAGCTGTCTAAACAACAGGCAACAGCGGTCAAAATGTAAGTTTATGGAACAGTCATTATAAAATCTGTGACAGCTGAAAACTAATTGAATATTTGTTTTCAGCTGCGAAAAAAGCATATCACATAAAAATTTGAGCTTTATAAAAACTTGAGCTGTAACTATTCAAAATTTTTAAAAAAATTTTGGAGACCAGTGTCTCCCCTTAAAGCACCATTTATGGCAGTAGAGGATACCTGGTAGCCCTTCTGGATGACCGAGTAGACCTTTTCAAAGCAGACTTCATCCATGTCAGTCAGTTGCTGTAAAGGTGATGTGGCCTTTACGCCAACAAAAGTCTGCCCCAGGGGAACAGGGCGAAATCGGTTGTCAAAGTAGAACAAGCCCTGACGTGGATTGACACGCAGAAAGTGGGCCACATCCTCATAGTTGGGCAGCGTTGCTGAGAGCCCAACAATGCGAATCATTGTTTGGGACGATTCCACCTGAAAAGAAAAACACATGCAAGTTTATATGCATGCATTGGCTATTGGCCACAACATCCGCAATCTGTCTGAGATGGGATAACTAATAGCATAGCAAACAAACCTTTTAAGAAATGTACTCCGGCTGCTGATGATTTTAAGAAATTATATCTCATTACAACCAAGTTAGCAATACACTCAGTCTATCTAATGCCTCCACTGTGGCTAGTCCTCAGTATGCTCTATCATGAACGTTCTCTGGGGGGAATGAAAAGGACGGATCAACTAAAATCACTCGTAGCTACCTACTTTAGAAAAGTCAAAGGTTGGCCGCGATAGGTGCATGCAATTGGACCACCAGAGAGTAGAGAAGAAAAAGCTGTGTCAACTAGAAGTATTTCAATGCCTGCAGCCAGAAAGAAAAATGATCAGGCACTCCAATAACAACTTTATGCGTTCCCTAATTCATTCTTATTCCTTACAAACAGGTTGTAACAATAAAAATTTTCATGCGACCGAATACTTTCATGTGTTCAACTATATTTCAAGACAAAACTGCTTCTATGGTCCTGCCAACAGTTATAGGGTCTCGAAAATGAGAGCCCGCTCTCGAACATACTTTTACATCGATGATATTGCCAGCCGAATCAATACATAACTAGTGATCAGTACCCTCAATGCACTCAATCAACAAACCAAATGCGAAGGTGGCATTGCCGACGTTAGACTCACCACGAAGGGCCCACGAGAGACAGCCTGCTACGGCGACCCATGGACCTACCGCGAGACACCACCATTTGCGCCAGCCACCACATGCCAATATGTTTTCTGCCTGGCCACGTAGCCTCGCCGCCAGGCGTCACTGATGGCACCAGTGCACTAACCATCATGATCACTGTGATAATGAACTCTCGCAAGCACTACACCACCTCAGCAGCTGTTAACACAGACTGAGGTGCAAACGACTTTACAGATTATAGCACCCACACACAGTGGAAAAGTATCTTGTTCACGAATTAAGTTGCATTGGATGCAAATCTTCTCATGAGATGCACTAGCACCAGTCCCAGTTAACATTCTCACAAGATACAACTACAAGGCACATTTTAAGCAGCAGCCCACACAAAAAACAGAACACATCAGAAGTCCTTTGGCCATTTGTTAAAGTATTTTTAGATTTCATCGAGCCATTTAACCATCCAGGCAATCACTACACCCATGTTCACCACACTGATGTGTTTATAATGCACATAACCGTGTTTGATGAACAATAATTCCACAAGAAAAGGTCCTGGTGCAAAAACCATGCACTTGCCATGAACCAAAAGAATGTGATGTTCTGGGCTGTGTCCTTTGATACTAAAGAACATACAGAATGAATTTGCAACTATGTTGGAGTAATAGGAACTGGTCCCTGGACGAGCTGGTGAGTACAGTAGCATCCCCTGAGAGAACACTACAACGAGCACTGTTGATATTATCGGCATAAGTAAACAATGTTCATGCACAGCACTAGTCTATCAAAGGAAGTCAAAACTGTCACTTAGCGGTAATTGTATGCAAATCTGAGCCACTATGTAAGATGTTTTGTTTGAGTAGGATGCAGGTGTATAATATCTTGAGAAGATTAACCTTTGTCCTGTTTATTGTACATTCAGCTGTTTATTGTGCATTCAGTTGACTCAGTGTAGCATGACTCACAAAATGAACCAATATTTCAAGTAAGCTAGGCATTCAGAAGCCATCTACATGCAGACATGCATTGGCAGCGCAAGCACTGATGGCACGGCATCAACACAACCAAATGCTGGCCAACACTGTGAAACAAGTGGCGCGATCTCAGTTCATCAAGTGCATGCAATCAAAGCAGCCTTAAAGGTTGCGGAGTGAGCCAATGCCACAAGGAAGAAACATACCAGAGAAGCTAAAAAAAGTAAAAAATAAGAACACTCTCCCATAAAAAAGGAAAATCAAGCTTTGAAGCACGGATATATGCCAACAAGATCAAAAGGCTTTTTTGGGAACCCAACGGAGGGGAGCTACAAAGACTGTTCACTCAAGTTCTCAGATGGCCCCCCCTTTTGAAAAATAGAATCAGATTCTCCTCTCCATGGGCTGCCCAAAATTCACCGGCACTACCTTGTGGTGCAACCAGTCGTGGAATAAGCATGCTAATACGAACTGTCCAACGTTTTACTGGGTGCTGTCAGGGTTCACCCCTCTTCTGGTCAAAGGTATAACGAGTCTCACATTGGTGAGAGCGGTCATTTAAAATGGCATTCGGAGCAACTCAAGAATGAGGTCATACAGCCGCCCCACGAGAGCATAGGATTAAAACTTTTATTCAATCTATGACAAGAAAACATGCATTAATCCTTCAGAATATTTAAAACCAGCGTATCTTCATTCCTCTCGTCCAGACCACAAATTTAAAGTACAGCCATACAACCCAAGAACGGATCTTTTTGAGCATTCTTTTTTTCCGCAAGCCATTGTCGAATGGAATATGTCACCAGCTGATTTAGTTTGCCGCAAGACTGCGGATTACTTCTATGACACACTGTGCCCCCCACAATAATGCCTAAGATGCACTGCGAATATTCTTCAAAAAAATAAATAAATAAGAAATAATAATGAGCTAACAGGATGCAGCATCACTCAACCATCAGCAGTAACGAATATACATCCACATTTGCTGGCATTCCACCAGTAGCAGGGGTGTGACGACCGAGACTCAATATGGAGAAGTTTTTGGAGACTCGAAATTCCAATTTTGGAGCAGACGAACCTTGCTTGAGAGCAGTTAGCGGCATTTAATATGTCGGCCTGGGAGCTTGAATATACAAGTTTCAAGTGCACATGTTAATTGGACTATAATACACATAACACTGAAACAGCCTTAGAAGAAATTTTTTGAACAGATCATTGCCAGGTATGAAGTGCACTACTCTTTGTAAGAAACATGTGAAATATTATTTTTAAAGATGTTCTGAAAACCAGGTTATATGCAAACATTTGAAAAAAAAATGAATCACACACACACAGAATTTTAAAAATTGTGATTGCACAAGAATCGTAGTTGCGTAACTGTGGACCTTCGCTTAAAAACAGTTACATTTACGTCAAGTGTACTGCAAGCATTTAACAGAAAACAAAAGCGTACTGCACTGCTGTTTGCGGCCACCTCACGTGGGACCGCTTTCTAGAATGCAAGGCAGGAACCAAGAAACCTCGCTGCATCGACTATCTCGTAAAGCGTCTGGGTATGGCATGAAATAAGCCAATATGATACTAGGTGATAACACCTCTCGATGCGTGCAACCACGCGTTATTAATACTGCCCATGTTGGCCTGTTCAATCACTGTTCATGTAGAACTCCCATAATACATAGACTTGCGATTGCCACCTGCGCCACTCCGCCACTCGTGTGAAGCGCTCGCACTGTGCAGCGCAGGTAAGCAATGCGTCTATGCAAACGAAGTGCCAAACATACAGATGTCAGATTGTTGACGAAGAAGAAAAAAAATGAAAGGATATAGAGGAGGTATACCAATCACACTGCGGAACGGTCACCAACTGAAACTCTGTTTGAACATGAAGCTAAGCCTAAAAACTCGTGTCTAGCCCAGAGCTGGCACGCAGCGACGCCTATTAAAGTGTTCGTTGTGAGTTTCAATAACAAGACCCACAACAGTGCCCTATCACGGTTTATAAAAACTGTGCCACGTGATCGTCGACATATCATGAGTCAGGAATAAAGTACCGAGGTGCCCGTTATTGCCATTTAAACTGGTTTACAAGCCCATTCTGTCCCCACGAGTTCGCAAATCGTGCAAGTTTGTTTTCAGTGCTGCTGTCTCTCGCTACCTGCAGGCACCGACGTGCGGATTGCAAAATGCAATGAAAACTCGCCTGTCAAAATAATTAGTCGCTAATGGGTTAAACCGGGAGCCTGTTGCATGCGTTCTACACACAACAGCGTCGCCATTAAAACCGCAGCTACTGGAGGAACATTCTATGCAAAACAAAGAACCTGAGAGTCAACCTTGGGACGCATGCCACTTGGTTAGCATGGCTAAGTTGGCGGTTTTCGCTAAGCGACAGTGGCACCAGAACAGAGCGCCTAGCTAGAAGCAGCAGCGCTCTATGGACGGCAGCACATTTTTGCACGGTCATGCATATTTACAACAGCCCAGGGGAGATTAAGGCATGACCAGAAAAATGCAAAGTAAAAAACCCGTTTGGGCATCTTATTTTCTTGACATTCATGGGGCTGCTCAAAAGACCATATAGTGAAGTCGGCTCATTCTAGTTCACTACACAACTCAACATTTTTTCCCCCCTGAAGCATAAGTTGGCATCAGAATTCTTGATTTTAAGGCTGTCTTGGAGCAGTTTGGTGCAAGAAAACGAAACATATAAATAATACGTAAGATGCGCAGCTGTCTCACCCCTGCAATTAGGGGTCGCTGCTAGTTGATGTGTTGGTTAGTGGTGCATCCCATCTAGTTGTCAAAGATTTGTATCAAGTTGAATAAACGACAGTTATTTTTGGGGTTCAGCATTAATTGGCTGCTGTCTCCTCAGGCTATTGCTTGGTTACCGCCCTCCAAGAACTGACAACGATACAGCCTCATGTTTAAATAACCATAAAAGAAGCGTAAAGTAGTCAATAAAAAAAAGCCAAATGGACTTGTTTGTATTCTATCTACTCTGCGGCAGCATGAAAAAAACAAGAACATAGAGAAAATCAGAATATCTGATGACACACAGCAATAGTGGCTCAGTGACGGTTTTCGGTGTGGCATCTTCTGCTTTGCTGCGGCAACAAAATTCAATATTAAGGATAAAAGAAAGCAAGAACAAGCATAAGCAGTGCAACAGCTGAAATACAATTTGGAGCAATTTTCGGAGCAACAAAACGCTACTTTTGGAGCACTAAAACCCAAATTTGGAGCAGGTTACAGGAAAAAATCATACATTTTTTTATCATAAGCAGTATAAAAAGGAATGCTCACAT